CTTACTACTTTATCACATAAGCAGTGCTGCTGCAATGGCTTATCACTGCAAACTACAGGAGTATAACTATGCTAACATCAGCTGCAGAAGCTTGGGTCAAAGCTGCACATGACAGCACTCTAACAGGGTTTTCCCTACCCATCAAAAATGTTTGTACACAACAGAGAAGCTTTGGGGTTCCAAAGGAAAATCACCAAGATGGATAAAAATATATTTTAGTCCAGTTCAGTTTTAATACAGGAAAAAAAAATCCTGTCCATTTAAATACAAAACAGCAAGGTAAGGTAAACAACTAGAGCAGTGGTGCATCAAATATGCAGCCCAGGGTATTTCCACTTCTTTGAACTGTAACTTACAGCTGTGACATGAGGAAAACCTGAGATTTCTCCCACTGTCTAAAAAAATTGCTTAAAAAAATTTTTAAAAAAGGATTTAACAAGTACTAACTAATATCTGGCATTTGTTTTTCTGAGGAGTAGGGTAAGAGGTCTTTCACATGGGCTTATAGTTGCAGTTTGTTTTGGGGGGTTTTTAAGTTTGAATCTGACCCAGGAGTTCTGTTGTGTTATTTGTCAGGCCCATTTGAGACCCACAAACTGGGTGTGACACTCCTGACTTAGAGCACTAACACAGAGAGAACAGCATGAGAGTCCATTTAAATTTAAAAAAAAAAAAAAAAGTACAGATCAGTCCTTGGATTTCATGTGTTTTTGCTCAGCGTGTTGCTACATAACTCCTGCTATGCTTTGATGGGTATATGTCTGCAAGGAGGGGTGTGAGCCAACGTCCCTGCACTACTTAATAAAGGGATCAGGGCGGACAGACTAATAATAACCAGTCTAGGTCACACAGGATACATACTGCTACAGTATCCCTTTGCTAAACACCACATGTCTTGACGATTGCTACTGCAGTACATAATTACCGTCATGCTTCAGGATCTGTTGGCAACTTCAAAGACACAAACAAGACAATTACTTCAGAACGTGCTAATTAGGAGACTTCAGTGACCGATATGCCCGTTAAGTTTAGTACCAAACCATCTTTACTGATCGCTTCCCACTGATTTTAAGCAGCCTCTTCTCACGGTTTACTCGTTTTTGTTTTTTGTTCTAGCTTGTTTTGGTCTTCTGCTTAAAGGAACTATTTGTAACGTCACAGTTTTAACTAATCCAAAACTGACTTTTTTGTCCTCAATTTTCAACACTGTTAAAAAAATATTAAACAAATATTTTTTAAAGAAAAAAAAGATGGGGATTTTGGTACTGACTCATAGTGGTTAACAGCATTTGAAACGACGGCTTGCTAGCTGCCACACAAACAGCGCTCGCTGAGACTAGCAGCGTAACTACCGCTAACTTTATAAGTCGATATTATATTATCTTGACACACATCAAATTAACGGATCTTACCTGTGATTTAGAAAGGTAAAGAAATGTTGTTAACAGGTTGATTCTTGTCAGTGGTCGTTTCTTCTGTGAGGGCTATCCGACGGAACTCATGCCATTTCCCTCTTCGGCTCTACACTTCTCCGGCTCCAGCGGCTAACAGCAGTTAGCTTTGTTATGCTAGCTGGCCATTAAGCCGGAATATTTATCAAACCCTTTGGCGAGTCCTTCTCAGAGCCTCACAGCGACGAGCATCCCAAGATCAACAAACTAAATATCCCTTATAGCTCGCTGTTAAATCACGCCTATAAGTAGATGGTGTTTAGACACAGGAGACGGTCTCCCTCCCTCCCTCGCTGTCATGCCTGTGGTACCGTCGCTCCTCCCCGTTTTCTAAGCTCAGTTTTTTTCCACCTCTTTCATAAAACCCGCAACGTGCCCGACCTCTTCTGTTCAAGTGAAGGACACACAGCAGAGGACAGTCAGTATTATCATTGCAATTCTGAAAACATTAAATAAAAAAAAAAAAAAAAGAAATGCTTCTCTGCTTTTACGTTTTACATTTTAGCTCTAAATATTGGGAGTTTTACGGTACAGCAGGTGAAACGAGCTGTGTTAATCTGACAGATGACGCTGCGCTGGTTGCATAAGCTGTAAATGCCCCTTATGGGCTGTGTGTGCACTGTAGTTCATGTTCGCTGCAATAAAATGATAATTCAGTTGACATGAGTTTTTATTATTATCCTGACTTGATTCTTAATTTAAAGTTTACGTAGATCGGGGTGATTAAAGAATTTTCCAAAGTGTTTGTGTGGGGGGTAGAGGGGCACAAGAAATTTGAATATTTGATCATTCACTGACATAGAAAACATATGCAGGTGACAGGTAAAGGGCCTGGTTTACTCTAACTGCCTATGTGGCTCTCACTCTGCCATAGAGGTCAATATATATATAAGTATGAATGATTATTAGGAGGATGTAAAGAAAGAGAGGACAAAAAGG